GAACCCCTCCTCTTCTCTGATTCTCTACATCATCCTATTTTTACTCCCTTGTGAGATAAAGCATTTTCAGACCCTGAACTATCACCAGTCAAGAGGAATGGTTATTCCCTCAGAGAGGCCCCTTACCTTGAGTGAATATTGAGCCTTAAGATCAAGTGGAACTCATGCATATGATCCACTGCAAAAAATGATGAAAAAATGGTTGGTTACCTGTATTGCTCCAGTAAGTACCTGACTCATCATGCTATCCTCTATCTTTATGTTGTAACCGAGGGAAGGTTACTGAATAGAGTAATCACACAAAGGTTGGTAATGAACAATAATACTCAGAAGAAGAACAACACATATAAAATTTGCCAACAGCACCTAGAAGAAGAATTCAAGTCAAGTGAATTCCACAATGATTCCCCAACTGCAGGCCAACATACAGTATATACCACTGTATTTATATGAATGGGGACATAGCCATTATCATCCATAGGTATGCTACAACACTTTACAAGAGCCAGATCAGGCCGAAAATATATTGCTACCATATTTGGGCTGTCCAGTCCTCACAGATGAAACATTGCAAGACTCTCACCGCTCAATAACTATTTTCATTGAAAGGCTCAGAGAAACTACATTCCTTATTTCCACCAGTTCTAAGCTTGACAGCTGCAACCTGCCATGCTACACACATTGTTGTGAAACACCCTCATTTGCTTCATATTCCATCAGTGAGAAGTAAGTTCCACTCAAGCAGATTCTTGGAACCATTGCTCTGTGGAACTGACTCTAAAGAGGATATTTTTCCAATCTCTACAATCTTAACCTGTTCAATTCTAGGGTTAACCATTATTTTCCCCACATATCAGTATAAACTATACTCCTTACTCTGTAACGCTCTACCTCAAGTGACTCCAGGGCTTTGGACAGGGTGAACCTTAAAGTAAAAAAAATAAAAATATCATCCTGGTGTCAGTTTAAACTGACAGCTTCTTTTGTTTATGTCAATCATAATTATAGACTGAAATTTTGAAAAGCAAACATTTCATTGAAATGTTGGAAAATTTCCATGTTTTCATCTGAAAGGAAGAAAATATGAACTTATAGTAAAATGGTCAGAGTATATGGAAAAAAAAGGTGTTAGTTTAAACTGACATGATATGGATTTAATTGATACCTTTCTTCCATATACCTAAATTATAATTATGAACTATCATTACAGAAAGTGAGAATTTCACTGATATATGATGGAAAACTTCCAAGCTTTTATCTGAAATCAAGTAAATATGAATTTCAAGCAAATTTGTGACAATATGGAGAAACAATTACATTTTTAACCTCCTTAAAAAGTCAGTCTAATTATGACAGCAGTGTGAAACAAATATTTTAGCAGGGCATCTGACATTGCTATATACATATATAGAATTATAATTCACTTTGCATAGAAAATCATTTTTAATACATTTCTTATCTCAATATATGTCGGACCACAGATGTTTATATTTTTGTCATTATCAAAAGATGGCCAAGGTTCAAAATCAAGAAAAGAAAAAAAATATATTATGCTAAACTTGTGGACAGATCAGATGAGCAATTTTCTTGCTTGTCTATAAGTTGTACTTTCCTTTAAGTCACTCGTAGATGAGGCCATTAGACTTGGTTGGTGATACCAAACAAATACAAACTTTAAAAAAATGGTTGCAATGTATGGAAAAGAAAAGACAACATTTTAAACTGGCAAAAGGAGGATACGATTAAAAAAAAAATGGAGAAATAAAGGAAAGAATCTGAGAAAGCATCTGACATTCGATTCCTGTTTTCATAAAATCCACAATACAGCTAAGAATTTCAAAATCATGGAAAGAAAAAAGCAAAAACGGAGAGATATGTTATACTCCCTAAATATACAAATATGCTGAAATTAGAGAAGGGGAAATGTTTCACCTGTGAAAATGTAAGGTGTTCTATGATGAAAATGTAAGAAGTCTTGCAATTGTACTTACAAGACTTGTAGTTAGGTGAATGGTTCATAAGTGCTTCTTTTCTGCCAATTTGAACTTATTTTTCTTGATATTGTCCACAGTGAGAAAGAGAGAGGACGGGACTATATAGAAAGAATTATATTGGTTGCTTTTATTATCTATTTAATTATACCTACAGATATATCTTAATATATCCCAAAATGTTTCTCTGTTGTTTGTTTGTCTCCTTAATTTTGATCCTTTTCTGAAAATTTTTGGTTGTGATTCATAAACTTATGGAGAAAAAATTGTTTTTCCTTTTTGTAAGACAAGTATTTGAAATAAACTCCTTTCATATTTTTGTGATACATATTGGTTAAGATTCACTGGGGTAGAAAAAGTGTTTCTTTTTCATATCTAGAATATATTCACATATTATATTCTTATGCCATTGGCATTGAAGATATTTTGTGTATGACAACAAAAATTCAAAGATTGGGTAAAACAAAAACAGACACCTGCAGTTGTCACAAAAATCAAAGAATAAAATCTTTAAAAAATTACCAAAATCATTGATTGTTTGAGATTCATTGATTTTCTTTGAGTATTTTCAGACTTTGTTGATATATGACTTTGTAAAATGTTGAACTTGCTTTCTGATTGTATTATACAATTAACTTTTTGATACTTTTAATCCATTTATATAAACAACCTGACTCATTATTTCTGCAATATTATCTTAAATATTCCTAATTCCTAATAATGTTTGACATAGCATTTAAATGTTTGAAGATCACAGGTGACTTGGAAGCAAGAAGCTGGAAGAGAGTTCCACAAATGAAGAGTGTGACAGAAGAAACTGTTAACATAGAATTTATGGTTACATCTAGCCACTGTAACTGTAAAACGAGGAGACATTGTTGTCAATTCTAGTACTGTGCTTAAATTCATAAAGTCTAGGTATTACAAAGGAAAGTTCATTTGAAGAATTACTTTGGAAGTATATATACAAAAAGCAGAGAAAAGCTATATTACTGCTGTGGGGAAGTAATGGGGTGCTGAGATGCCAGATCAGGACCAATAACATTGCATATTATTCTTTGGATTTTATCAAGAATCTTTAAATATTTAGGAGGAGCACCAGACCAGATATGGCAGCAATATTTGAAGCAAGGATGAATGGTGGACTTATAAGATAGACTCTAGTGGGAAAAAATGTCTACACAACAGTGAACCAACTTTTCTAGCAGCAGACCTAGTAATTTATTCAATATATTTTTTTCATTTCATGTCAGCAGAAAACGTTAGTTTGACAAGGTGCAATGGGTCAATTTCATGGAGGTTAGCATCAGCCAGGTTGCTGAAAGGCAAAATTAGGTATCTCAGATGATTAAAAGATAGCAGTTTTGTTTTTTTGAGGTGTTAAAATTAATAAGCCATTCCTTGCCCTAGTTAACAACAGACTGTTGTAGGTCATTTTTAGATCAGCTGCCAATTTGAATGTATCAAATCAATCAGACTTACTATTAAGACAGGGGTATGCAATTTTGTCATAGAGCATAGATACTGAGTTGAGAACTGATGAAATCAGAAAGGTTGTTGATGAAAATTAGGAGCAATGTAGATCCAAGGATAGATCCCTTGGGAATACCTGCATTAATGCAAAGAGATCTAGAAGAGTGGCCATTCAAGACAATATTTATTTTATTCAACATTGAATTAAGACACTGTTGATGTTAAAACAGTGTCTAAATCAACCACCATACAAGCAAGGAAGTCTGCTTAAAATAGATGGAATGTGACACCTAATCAGGCAATATGGTGCCAGTCTTCTCTCATCTTTTAGAAATATCCTCTAGCTAAATGGTAACCAATGCTGTAGCATCAATAGTTCTCTTTTTGGTCATTGGTTATATTCCTGGTATACCTATGCTATTGTTGCCCAAAAAAAACCTAGAGCAGTTTAGAAATAGAGTGTCCCATTTTTCTGGTATCCAGCTATCATTCCATGTCCAATGTCTACACTACACCTTTGCCTATTACCACATATATGTTCATTTTCTTGCATATTTCTACAACTTAAATAAGGAAAAAAATATCCAGTATACTGTTGTCTCAAACATTTTTAATATATAGAGCCTCACAGTCATGTGACAATATTCGTAACTGAATAGTAGAGAACACTGGATCAAACGGTGGGTCCGCCTACAAAGGGGGATGCAGGTTCAATCCCTGTCAGAGCACATTTTCTTTCTTAAGACTTCTCAAATATGCAGGCTGATTGATGTAATACACACCGTTTAAAGTAAAAATAAAAATAGGGTGTCTATTTCAAATACGAATTTCTACTATAACAATTGTACTGATAAATCATCAGTTACCTCCCCTTAAGATATCTGAGGTATAAAAAGCACTCTGTTATATCCGTCAGTAGACGAGTAGTCAGAGTAAAGTGCAATAAAGCTTTGGTATAATTTTATACACTGGTTCTGTTTTTACTACAATAATATTTGAAGTAATAAAAATATAGACTTAATATATGTGTACTATGTAGGTTTTGGCACCTTGACATGTGATGTGAGTCAGTTGGTCTTATTAAAAAATACTTGATAAATAATAAGATTGTTTTTACGAACATACATTCCAACACAAATTATCCTACAAAAGACGTAAGGAAGATTATGATATACACACTAACTTCATGTGACATGATTAATTTGTTTCAGTCTTTACTTTGGTAAGAAATTTAAGTGATAAATGCAATGATTCTTTTATTAATTATTTTATTTATTTATTCATTGATTGTTTTGTTATTTAAAACCAGAAAAAATATATATTAGATTATAAGAATTATTTTTGGGGACATAATAATGGTTTAGTGATACAGTCTTACTAATTACCCCATAGCTCGGAGGAAAAGAGGTGGATTCATACCTTTCCCAAGGGTATTTGCATGTAATTGACTATAACGAGTCCAACGGGAATTAGAACTTGGCTCTTTGATTAACAATTCCGAGACATTATCCATTACACCACTCGCACATCCAAACTTACAGAACTTGGTATACTCGAGTGGTCACCCATATAAGTACTGACCAGACTCGATGTTGTTTAACTTCGGTGATCGTATGGGGACCAATGTTTCAAAGTGATGTGGCCGTAAGCCTTTCATTATCTAATGACTATGAGAATTAATAGGAATAGTCGCAATTAATGTTCGTCCTATCAGATGGTCCAGCAAGATTGATAAAATTAAGAACAACTTTTACCTGCATATATTGAAAAAACTATAATGCCCTTGAAAAAGGCAGAAATGTTCCTCCAGATTTGGGTTAAATATCTGAGTAGACTGTTTTCTCGTGTTTTGGTTGGCAGCCAGGTTTGGTTTGGTTTACGGCATATCAACCTCAATGGATTATTTAATTCCGACAATTATTATTGTTGGTGGTATTTTTTTCATAAATGTATTGCTTGAGATATTTTTTCTTCAAAAATCTATTTCTGGTAATATTTTTCCTTCAGATATGTATAGCTGGTAATTTTTTTTTCAAAAATGTATTGCTGGTAATAATTCTTTTACAAAGTATTTCTGGTGTTAGAACCTACCATTACACTTTAATAGTGTTTTGATCTCAGTTTGTGGGTTAACTATTTGCCCATAGCTGGGACCCCAACAGGTGCCACCACCCCGGGTCAGGGTGGACCTGGGAACACCAGCAATTAAGAAGTGATTCCACGCTACTCAAAGCCTCCTGATCAAAGGCCTTGCTGTTGGATGTAGTTTATCATCTTACTCAGGACGTGGATGTAGTTTATCGTCTTACACCAAGGACGTTGGCAGCCAGTCTAGGAAGAGGACAACTATTCAGAATTAGAACCCCTAAAAATAATAGTGCACATTGTTCTCTCTAACTTCTGGAAGACAACTAGTCCAGAAGAAGGAGAATTCTGGATTCAAAACAAAAGAACAATGGGCTCTATCAGGCTATCTTGCCTTAAACACACCCAGTGCTGCTACGGCCGTGGCACGTGTTTTGCTGCTACTAGAACCCTAATTTTTGAGTTAACATACAGTAGGATTTTCATAAATACACATACAAATGCATATATGATTATGTATCTATATACATACGTATGTATATATAAATACATACATTATTTCAGTGGTCACTGCACGACAATGTGTAAACATACGACTCTTCAGCCCGGCTTCAGTCTTGCATGATCATCTGCAGATATGTCACATCAACTGTCCATCTTTTCAGGTCATCAACTATACCTTTGCGTATTTTGGAACACACACATCTATATATATATATATATATATATATATATATATATATATATATGTGTGTGTGTGTGTGTATATATATATATATATATATATATATATATATATATATATATATATATATGCTATTGAGTTTGTCCTTCCCCTCTCCACATTGAGAATGAGCTTTTTGTTCAAATAGCAGTTGTTGATCTACAAAATTTCCAAAACTATAATGGCTATTTTCAAGCTTTTGACACTTGTGAGTCATCTTCAGGGAACGTGTAACGCATTATGTGAAAACAGTAATAGTCGTAAGTACAACATTGAGTATAATTTTACATTTAAATTTAATAGAACTAATCCAGATTGCAGTAAGTACCATATGCCATGTGTTACGACAATGAGCGGAGAGCATGCGTGATGATGTATTTTTATGCAATAGAGAATGATAGGTTGGAAACTGTAATTATTATTATTTTTTTTTTTTTATTAACGCACGATTTCTTTTTGTCTGATGAACTGATACTCGATTAATGCAAAATGTCTATACTTTATCTATAAAAAGATTGATTGACTGATTCATTTTGTAGGGCTTATCAACCCTTTGCAGGTTGTTTAAAGCCAGAAAATATTTTTAGACTGTGTGGGGTTAACTCCACTTACTTTCCTGAAACCGATACTGGGGGACGCTTACCGGCACTATAAATATTCTGCGATAATTTTTCGCAGTCTCTTCTTACTTTTTCCGCTTACACATCAACATGTAAGTCTCTCGCGGGAAAACGCATTTCCTATTGATAAACATGAACAAAGCACACACACACAACACACATACGTACGCACATTCACATACTTTGAATCAAAAAGGTTTTCACGTTCTTTTGCTGCACACTTCATTGTCTCTGTCACTCGTATATCTTTCATGTTAATACATTATCATTTGTTTGTACATGTATTAGTTCTTGCGGTTTCTTTGTATTTTATTATAGTGGACATACATGCAAGTCCTCCATTTTTGTTGTGGCCACTCCAGGAGACAAGTGTTATTCCCAACTCAAACACACGACATTACTAACGGCCCGCAACAACTGGAAGGATTTTTTTATTTTTTGGAGATAATGGTTTAATGATACAAGTTTTACTAATTAACTCATACCTGGAGGAGAACAGGTGGATTAATAACTTTCCCAATGGGACTTGCGCGTAAGCGAATCTAATGAACCCAAATGGAATTCGAGTTTGGCTCTCCGATTAACAAGCATTATCCACACACTACACGCACATACAAGCTTACAGCACTTGGTCTTCTCAAGCAGTTGTCCAGCTATGTACTGACCACGCCCAGCATTGCTTAACTTCGGTGATTGTAAGTGATGTGGCCGTAAGCCATCCGTAGTAAAATATGTTTGAAGAAATAATTTCTGCTTAATTACACTATATATTGGACCGAACGATTACAGAAAGGCCTGTCTAAGAAACTGGAGTTGTGTTGAATATGCCATCAGTTATGTGGCAAATGTTATATATATATATATATATATATATATATATATATGATAACAATAAATAAATTTTATATATCAAGAAGGGTTTTTGAGGAAAGATGTATGACAAAGTGGAAAATGTTTTCGCGTGACGTATTTCGTTCCTTTGATGAAAATGAAATTGGCTAGATTATATTATATATTTTTTTCTAAATTTAAAATTTCCAGCGTTCCTAGTTCCTGTGTTTGTGTAGTCACATTAACGTAAACAAACCTAGTCCGATGAAATCTCAAGAGATGAAACGCGTCAAGCGAAAACTTTTTCCACTTTGTCATATATATATATATATATATATACTGAACTTACCAGAAAACAATAAAAAGTGGTGTAATGGTAAAGTGGAATAGGAAGATTGTGCTATATCAATTTTCTTCCATATGCTTAGAAAATCTGCATTTTTACCTGGACTTGAACACCGTCCCGCGGCAATGAGGGGAACCACACCAATGAGGCAGGACACTGACACATGTATAAACGAAGACATGTAGATAGAGAAAGATAGAGCAAGAGCGAGAGACAGAAGGAGAGAGAGAGGGATGTTTGGATATATAATTACAAAAAGAGAGGAGGAAAGGTACCAAATAAAGATATTTCCCGTATCACAATAATTAAAGTTTGTGTTAGAGAGAGAAATTTTAATGACGTCATTAAGCTATTTCGTTTCAGTGTTCTGATAGAAGATATTTTCTGTCTTATTTTCGACAAATCTCCCTCATCTGTTTGTTGGTCTTTACCCCAATGATCCACATCAGTCAAAGTTAATAATAGTTATTGTTACACGCCATTAGGGACATTTTAAAGAAATAGAACTGGGTTAAAAAATTTGGTTATTGCCGGAAAGTTAGTGATGGACCAAGTGTTAACAAAACAGAATTACCGGAAGTAATTGTCACTTACCTCCCTCATCAGATCACCCCCAGTGATTTTCCGTATGTTATCCATATCGTCTGATTCCCTTCGCGGCCCCGTCAGGTGCATGTCTCCCGATGTGGCTGCAGGAACGTCCGTACATGAAGATTCTAAGTGTGAATGGCAAATCAGTTGTCTTTGTTCGTTGATGCATTTATCCGTCACGTTCGCTGCGTGTCTGTTCGACGCAGTTGGCTGGTCATTGCACTGGACAATACACAGCGAAATGAAGGCGGTCACGGGCACAGACACCGTCACTGCCACTAGCACTATAAGAATCAATAAGTAGAGCTGGATTTTATCTTCTGACTGGATATTTACAGCATTCAACATCTCAAAAGTTTTGTTGCTGACTGTCAGTGTCAGAGAGATCGTCGTCGTTGCTGAAAGAACCGGGTTTCCGCTGTCTTTGACGGAAAATTCAAGATCGTAAGATCCGGCATCTTGTTGTGTGACGACCCGCGTAAAAGACAATAAACCTGTGTAGTGATTGATAAAGAATAACTGTTTTTCGTTGCCTTTGGTGATTCCGTATTTAAGAAATGCATTTTCGCGGCTGTCTTTGTCGGATGCTCTCAGCACTGTTACGTTGTTGGTGTGGTGTGGGTAGTAGATAAAATCCAGATTGTACGGGTTGACGCTAGGAAAAGTGAAATAAGGGGCGTTGTCGTTCTCGTCCTTGACTTCGACGACCACGTTTACGGTATTGTTCAAGGATGGGATTCCATTGTCTTTTACTAGAACCTTGAATTTGTAGACGTCTTGAAACTCGTGGTCTAAAGACATGACGGTCGAGATGAGCCCATTGTCGGAAATCTGGAACGGTAGGAAGTGCTTGTTACTATTCACTAGAGAGAAGATTAATTTGCCGCTCTGTCCTAGATCCGGGTCCGTGACATTAATAACCCCAACTGGTATCTTGGATTTCTGGTTTTCGGAAACTGAAAACTTGAATGTGTCTTTGGCAAACTTCGGTTGTGCATCATTAACGTCCATTACTTTAATCGAAAACTTGCTCTCACTGTGCAGCGGCGGGAAACCTTTATCTCGACAGATAATTGTAATCTCGTGACGATCTTCCCTTTCCCTATCCACCGGGTTTTTAACCACAACTTTGTATTTTTTAACACCGAGACTCTCCAGTTGGAATTTTCCGTGGTGGAGGTCGCAGTTGACCTCACCGTTATGCCCGGCGTCATGATCAGTGACTTTTACATAAGCAATGAAACTCCCGACTTTGATATCCTCTGAAATAGCTACTGTGTTACCGTTTGAGGCCGAGACGAAATTCACGTCTATTGTCGGAGCGTTGTTCTTTTCGTTGATCACATTAACAAGTACCATTGCGATGGAACTGAGAGCCGGGTTGCCCCCGTCAGTTGCTTCGACGTACAGCTTGTACGTCAGTTTCTGCCCCGTACTGAGTATCTTACGGAGGAATATCTCCCCGGTAGCTTCATTCAGTTTGAAAAGAGATTTTGCCACGTCGGACGTCTGCGATGTAAAATGATAAGATATCCGCCCGTTTTTGCCAGAATCTAAATCTCTGGCCGAAAGTATCGCCACGGGGGTTCCATCGATTATATTCTTGATTGAAACATTGTAAACCTTTTGTGGAAAGACCGGGGTATTATCATTGACATCTGTCACGGATACATGCACATCCAACACACTTTGCTTCGACGGAGAACCCCCGTCCCTCGCTATCACTTGCACCACGTATGAATCTTTCACTTCTCGGTCAAGATCGTCCTCCAACTTAATCGCGAGTTTCGATGTGCCATCAACATTTTTCGACACTGACAACGTGAACGGCTTTATGTTTTTCTTCAGCTGATAGGTAATCTCCGAGTTCTTGACTCCAACATCCCGGTCTATCGCATTGGGGATCGAAATTTTAGTGCCCTTTTTGTCGTTCTCCGAGAACTGAATGTCTACCCGCTGATTTGGGAACTCGGGCTGGTATTCATTGACGTCCTTTATGGTCACCTTGATGTCCATGATTTTCATAAAGGACTCGGCCTTCCGAACGGCCACATCCACCATTTTGAAACATTCTGCGTTCCGTGTGCAAAGTGACTCGGCGTCGAGGATCTGCGTAGTATAGAGCTTCCCCGTTTTTTTGGATACTCGAAATAACTGCAAGCTGCCCGCAACCCCGTGTTGTAGTTGACTGAATGTCACCAGATGGTGCTCCTCGGGTGGTATCCTGTCCATTAAATGGGAATCAGTTGCAATATCCCCAACAAGGGTACCTGGACTTTTTCCTTCCTCGACGTAGTAGGTGAGGTCGACCCCTAGGCATATATGTAGGATACTCACGAATATATAAGCAAGTATTAACACGTCCATTACTGGGGTTGACATCGGTCATGAAAGATGTGAAATGACCAGTGTGTTGCCTGAAAAGAGAAAAAAAAACTCATAAATATTTGGCTTTACATCTTATGAGTGTTGTTGCAGTTGGGAGTGATTAGAACAGTTCATAAGTTAATATTAACAACCTAAAATACACAGATGATATATTAGAAACAGAAAGGAAACTACAGGAACTTAATTACAGAAGGTAATAAAGGAAAGTGAGAAGAAAGGACTAACTATCAATTATAAGAAGTCAAAATGTACAATTAGCAGCAAGAATAACATTCAAACTACGAATTGGGGCCATCCAAATCAAGCAAGTACCAAAATTTGAATATCTAGGCAGTATTTTAACAGAAGATGGGAAATATGACACCGAAATTCAAAGATGGATTGAGATAGGGAAAGAGCCTTCTAAATAAGCGACGATATCGGATTCCCTATATGACAGTGAATTGCTGGACAGATGAAGAGAAGACTGGAAGCAACAGAAATGTGGTTCTAGAAAAAAATGCTGATAATACCATAGTCAAAACATGCTAGCAATGAGAAAGTTTTCATGAAGATGTAAACAGTTACTTTCATGTGTAAAAGTGAATGCAACTTATTTGACGAAAATTTGAACTTGGCTCCCTAATTTCTTATTCCAAGCTGCTGCTATCCCTTACACTACCTGCACATCCTTTAATGCACATACACACACACACATATATATATATATATATATATATATATATATATATATATATATATATATTGATAGATTGTTTTTCATCCAACATTGTTTCTTATTACTATATTATTTTTAGTGGGTACAATCTAGGCCAGTTGATATTAATTTCATTAAGAAAATAAAAAATAGATATTAACTCAAATGCATGTACCTACTAAAATAATATTTATAGTAATGTATATATATATATATATATATATATATATATATATATATATATATAATTATTTATTTAAAAATATGATTCCAAATCGCTACATAAGAGGTCTCATGTTTCAAAACAAGAGCCGAAAACTACAATATAATCCTTTAAATTAAATTGAGTTGAAAGTAAAATGGGCTCCGTTCCATCTTCAAGCGAAATTTTTGTTGGAATAACGTATATTTGAAATTTACTTGTTTTAAAATTGAAATCAAAATCCCCATGGTAACAGCAATGGTGAATTGTCTAAATTGGGTAGGCGAGTGTAGGGTGTTTATAATAAGTAGCGGTATAGAGATACTTTTCAGGGTGTCAAGTCGAGGAAAGGTGGGGGTGTCAAAAATGAAACAGAAGATGTATTGGCCATCGTCTAGTTTGCTTGTCTATGGAGATCTATTTATTTTATTTTATTTTATTATGAAAGGGAATTGTGCATATAAAAAAAGAAAAACTTTCCTAACGTTTGTTTTTTGACGACTTCATAAAGGGTTATCTTATATGTAAGGTATTTAAACTACTAATTCAGGCTATGGATTATGAAGTGTGTTATGTTGTATGCATGTTTGTAGTTAATTATTCCTACTATGAAACTGATGATTGGGCTATTTGTAAACAAGTTATATAAATTTTTTTTATCTAATAATTCAAACCAAAAATCTGATGATGCCTATAAAAAACCGTTAACTCATGTCTATTATTTAATAGATTATTATTATTAAGAAGTTTAATAATGTGCAATTTTTCATGGAGGCACAAAGGGCATGGGTCATCCCAAGCTTTACATGTTCTAGCCTTGTCAATGATTTTCCATTTAACTTTTTTTTGTAGGCATCATCAGATTTTTGGTTTGAATTATAAAATATATAAAGAGAGAGAGGCAAAATAATAAGATTTGGGAAAACACTTAATGTTTTTACACATTTTTATATGTAATATTTATATTGCATGTATCTTTACAGAGAATTATTAAATTAAATGAATTATTTTATTATTAAAATTGTTTTAATTACATGTTGGTTTTTAGAAAAAAATCATTTAATTTTTAAAATATATAAAAATTATGCGATGTTTTTCCAAATCTCTTCATTATTATTTTCTTCATACAACAAATTTTGGTACAGTTTCTAACATATTCATTTTTATATGTGTGTGTGTACATTTATATATATATATATATATATATATATAACATTATTATTGGTGTTAAGTTGATTTTTTGTTTGAGTGTGCATATGTGTGCATCTGTGTATATGTCAAATATTGTGATTATTTTTCCTTTTCATCATTTCTTGTCCCTTTTATTCTGTAACGATTCCTTTTTCTACATATATGTATGTATATATATATATATATATATAGATAGAGAGAGAGGGGGAGGAGAGTGTGAGTGGATGGATGCTGAGAAAAATTACTTAGACATTTTAGTATTATAAAACAAGGATTTATTTATGAGTGTAACAATAATAGAAAATAGAATTATAGTAAATAATGAATAGAATTATAGAAAATAGAATTCAGATGAATAAATGGTTGAGGTCGGAAGCAGGAAGAGAAAATATTTCCACTACAAAGGACAGGAAAGGAAACAGAAAATAAAAAAAAAATTCTGAACAGTTGAAGTTAAAATTGAAAGCAAGAGAAAAAATATGAAAGATTGGAAACATGTGAAAAAAAGATGAGATCACTTGGTAAGCATAAAAGTGTTGGCAAAGAGTAAAAAGAAGTCTTGGTAGAAATATGAAATGGTAAAGTAAGAGGAAGGTGCAAATGAAAGAGGAAGAATTTCAGTGTGTTAACTTGGTAGGTGCAAATGAAATGCTAAGTGAAAGTAAGGCGCTTAGAAGGAGTAAAAGTAAGGTGAAAATAAGAGCAAAGTGTAAATGAAATGAAAAATGAAAGAAGCCTTAAAGGAATATAAGACAGATGAAATTAAGAAAGTGCAAGTAAAAAAGGAAGAAAGAGGATTTTAATGGAGTAAAAAAAAAGGTAACAGAAGAAGTTGCAAATGAAATAAAATGAGAAAGGAAGGATAATAAGAGGAAGGTGCAAGTGAAATGAAAAGTGTAAAAGGAAGGTTAAAATAAGAGGTAGGTGTAAATGAAATGAAAGGAAAGGAAGATGTTTCAAAGGAGTAAAAGAAAGGTCAAAATAAGAGGTAGGTGTAAATGAAATGAAAGGAAAGGAAGATGTTTCAAAGGAGTAAAAGAAAGGTCAAAATAAGAGGTAGTTGTAAAGGAAATGAAAGGAAAGGAAGATGTTTCAAAGGAGTAAAAGAAAGGTCAAAATAAGAGGAAGGTATCAATGAAATGGAAAGCAAAAGGAAGAGGTTTTAAGGAGTAAAAGAAAAGTAAAATATGAAGAAGGGACAAACAAAATAGAAACAAAGATATGACCAGCCTGATTATGAAGGAATGTGTTAAAGAAAAAGTGAAAATTAAAGAGCGTGATTGAATCAACTTGGTAGACACAAATAAAATTCAAAGTGAAAGTAAGAGATTTGAAAGAAGTAAAATAAAGTTGAAAATAAGAGTCAGTTTTAGAGGTTCTAAAGGAATAAAAAGAAAAAGAAGGAAAGCGCTAATGAAACTGAAATGTGACAAAAGTCAGAGTAAGATGACTTGCGAGGTGTAAGAAGTCAAATGAAAGTAAAAGGCTTGAAAGTAAGTAAAGGAAAAAGATGAGTGATGTGTTAAAAGAAAGGTGCAAATGAATGAAATGAGAAGCCTGAAGAAGTGAAAACGAAAGTTGGAAAAAGAGAAAATTGTTGAAGGCAAAGATTTTTTTAAGGCAAGATGAGAGCTGAAGAGGGTGTATCTGGTCCAAAATGTAAACTCGGTGGACATACAACAATAAAAAAAAAAAAAAAAAAGTACAGAAATAGATAGCATTTAAATGAAAAAAGAAGTAGGTAAAAACAAGTGAAGAAAGAAAAGAAAGAAATCAGAAAATATGATGGAAGCTAAGAATTACGTCTGAGTTATTCTGTAGGAAAAGAAATCATGAGAAAAAGTCAGGTTATTAGCATGCAGTAAAAATTAAAAGAGAGATAAGAAGCAAAGATGGGGAAGAAATCTTGGAATTGAAAGAAAGGCTAAAAAGAAGAGAAAATGAAAGTAGACAGAGTACAAAAGAATTAAGTGTTTACTAAAAGACTAAATCAGAGAAAGCTGAGAAAAAGAGTTATGGCATAAGGAAAACAGGAATTTAGTTCCAAAAAGGAAGAGAAAAGAGTAGGGAGAAGAAGAAATGAAAGTAGGTAAACCATAAAAAAGTATGAGGAAACTTAAACACCTGAAGAAATAAATGTAAACAGAAGTGAGAGTAAAATGAAATGAATTGTGAAGTAGTAAGTGGAAAGAAAACTGAAACATCAAGTGAAAATCAATGTAGAAATAAAAGTGTAAAGCTAAATTAATGATAATTTTAACCAAAAAGTGAAAGTAGAAGGCAAAAAGAAGTCAAGGGAAGAAAAACAAGGAAAAATAAAGTGTGTTAGGAAGTTAACAGTAGAAAGCAAACTGAATTCAGAAGAAAGAAAGTGGAAGTAAATGATAAAAAAGAAGTAAATGTCAAAAAGAAAGTGAAAGTAGAAAGCTCATGTTGAAGACAGGAGAGAAAGTGAAAGTTAAGGGGAAATGAATGTAGAAAAGAAAATGAAACTGGCATAAGAGGCAAAGTAAATAATTGAGGGAAAGTGAAAAGCAGAGCCCCAGTGAATGTTAAAGGTGAAGTGAAAGTAGGATGGAAAATGAAAGTTAACAAAGAAGACAAAATAGAAACAAAAATTCAAAGTGGGAGGAAGAAACAAAACAGGTGAAAAACTATGCACTTCATAGAAAGTGAAAGTAGAAAGCCAAAAGTGAAAGTAGGTAGGTAAGCTGAGCTGAGGCGAGATTGAAAGCAAAGGCCTTCGCTGCTAAAACTAAGAAGACAATGTACAGTAAAAAGAAAAGTTGTTTTAAAAGCAATAGAAGTTTACTCGGTTCCTATCCATTGAGAAATATCTTTTTAAGTCTGCAACATAAATGCAACCTTTTGTAAATTTTTCGCAGGAAGCATGATGAAAAGGAA